ACACTTTGAATGACAATTGTGTGGTCATGCAAAACTGTACCCAAACTAAATTTTTAGCATTTTGTTCACACAACTAGAGCTTTGCTTTTGGTGGTATTTCATCACCACTGGGGTTTTTATATTTTGCTAAATTAACAAAAAAGTCCAAAAATTTTGAAAAAAAAAAACATGTTTCTTTGTTTCTGTTATAAAAGTTTGGAAATAAATAATTGTTCTTCATAAATTTAGGCCAATATGTATTCTGTTACATTTCTTCGCTGTAAATAACCCAAATCAGTGTTTATTATTTAGTCTGTAGGAAAATTAGAGTTCACAAACTATGGTATATACACCTGAAGTACTGACGGCCAATCTAATTTCTTGAGGCCCAAGAATGTCAGAACAGTACGGATATCCCCCAAATTACCCTTGTTGCAAAGTAGACAGTCCAACGTATTTCATAAGAGGCATGGCGAGTTTTTTGAAGGTATAATACATTTTTTGTCATAATTTTTTCGAAAATGAAGAAATTAAAAAAAAAAATTCACAATTTATTTTGTTTGTTTTTTTACATACGGTCACCAGTGCAGTACAGCGTCATCATATAACTGGTGTGGCGGTGATCAGGGACACTGACTGGTGACTGTACGGAAAAAAAAAAATTTTCTTCAATCTTTTTTATTTTTTATGATTACATTTTTTTTTCTCTTATTTTCATATTACACCATGACCAAAGTAGCATGTTACCATGTTACCATAGTAACATTGTACTACTTTGGGGAAGTGATCAGTATTTTTTTTTTTATACAATTTGATTGCTTATAGCAAAGAATTTGCTATAAGCAAGCATTTAACTGAATGAAAACGATTCATTCAGGTTTTTTTTTTGTGATTAGCTGTGATTGGCCACGGCTAATCACATGACACAGATGGGCTGTGATTGGCCCAGCCCGTGCATGTGATCACGGTGACCATTCACAGCTAGACACACTTGTATGCAATGGATGGCATGAAAGGAAGCCATCCATTGTATACAACGGTCATGTGACCTGCTGTGATTGGTCACAGAAGGTCACATGGTACTGGCAACAGGGCCGGTACACAGATCTGTTATCGGCCATGTCCAAGGTACACAGCTGGTGAGGGATGTCACCACAGCGCGGCCCTGCAGGCACGCACAAAGTGCACTCCGGGAAGGACATCATATGACGCCCTCCCGGAGGGACGAGAGGTTCGCTCGGCCGTCATATTACTATAGGCCGGGCGAAAAGTAGTTAAAAAAAAAAATAAATAAAAAGTGAACATTAATTCTGCAGCATCAATTTAGTAATGGGGTGAAAAACACTTCTGGTATAGATTCATATTACTAGGAAAAAAAATTAAATTTCTCCTGCAATAATTTTTTTACCCATTGAGGTCTGTCCAACAATACTGATCAGCATTTAACCACTTTCCCGCCGCCCTGTAGCAGAAATACTGCTACAGGACGGCTGGTGTGCACAAAATCACGTATATATACACACACACGTGATTTTGCATCTCCGGGTAGTGGGCGCGCAGAGCCACGCGCGCCCTACCCGTGCCGCCATTGGCGGCCTCACCTGTCAATCACCGGGTCCCAGCAGGTGATTCCCCGCCGGCACCCAGCTGTTCTGTGCAAAGTCACGCAATTATACACAATTGACATTTCCAGGTAGGAGGCACACGCGCTGCCCTACCCGTGCGGACGTCGGCTCCCGCAGATGTCGATCATCGGGTCACAGGCAGTGATACATGGCTAGGACTCTGATCGGCAAAGCAGCTGACAGGGGAGAGATCTGTGTGTAAATACAGATCTTTTCCTGTCAGCAGGGACGTGTTGCTTTCTATCTCTCTGCAAAGCAGAAAGCGGCATGTCCCCTAGTAAAACAGCACACAGTAAGCACAAAAACAGTACACAGCTAACCCTTTGATCACCCCAGATGTTAACCCCTTCCTGCCCAGTGTCATTACAGTGATCACTGCCACTGATCTCTCCAGTGAAACTAATACAGTGATCAGTGCTAATAAAAAGCAGTTAGTTCCCACCTAGTGTCAGAATGCCCACCGCAGTCCCACTATAAGTTGTTGATCGCCACCATTACTAGTATTAATAAAAAAATAAAAATCCAAGTGTATATACTGCCATTTGTAGATGCTATAACTTTCGAGCAAACCAATTAATGTACACTTATTGGGATTTTTTTTTTTTTCCCCCACCAAAGACAAGTAGCAGAATACATTTTTCCTAAACTCATGAAGAAATTAATCTTTTTTTATGGGGTATGTTCTATAGCAAAAAGTAAAAAATATATATTTAAAATGTTCTGTATTTTTTCAATTAATAGGGAAAAAAAAAAAAAAAAAAAAAAAAAAAAAAAAAACACAGTGATGATCAAATACTACCAAACGAAAGCTCTATTTGTGTGGAAAAAAATAAAAAGGATATGAATTTAATTTGTGTACAGTGTTGCGTGACTGCACAGGTGTCAGTAAAAGTAGTGCAGCACCGTATAGCCAAAAAAAAAAAAAAAAAAAAAAAAAAAATCTTCCAGCGTTCAAGTGGTTAATTCAAAAGAATATACACCCCTTTATAAAAGTGTAAACTTTATTACATTGGATATAGGGCAGCCTTGTTTTAAAGAACCTCATCTAAACTATCTCCAGAAAACATTAAAAAGTCCATTTGTAAAAGGTTTTCGCTCAAACGTTACATTTTTTCCAACTGAATCCAATTAGAAAAATGTGCTGTTACTCTTGGGTGAAAGTTGTGTAAACCTTGCATGGAAACACTCATAAAATTATAGAATAATATGAAGTCTATATATAAGGATTTTGCCACATTAAACAGATACTGAGAAAGCAATCAATATTGGTGATCACAGCCAGATTACTAAATGTTAAACATTAAGGAAAATAAAACTACAGTGGTACCTTTGTTTACGAACGCCTTGGTTAACGTAATTTTCGTTTTACCAATGAAAATCCATTGAAAACAATGCCTCGGTTTTCAAATTTTTTTTGAAATACGAAGCAAGTTTCCCCAGGATGTGTTGTGCCTGGGAGGTTTATAGCGCCGCCCCCGTCCATGCTGGAGTCTGTGGGTAGTCTGTGGTTAGCACGTGGCGTCGAGTGTGGAGGTGTTCTTCAATGCATTCCTATGGGAAACCGGGTTTTGGTTTATGAATTTTTCGCAATACGAAATGTCCTGGAGAACACATTAAATTTGTAAACTGAGGTACCACTGTATGTGCATAATCACATATTACTGTATATTTACTAAACATAGAACAAAAAAAAAAAAAATAAAAACAAAAAAACCCCAAAAAAGGTCTGATTTCACTTTAAACATCTAGAGCGATCAAAGGGTTAACTGTGTGCCTAACCAGTGATTTTGTGTTTACTTTCATTGGTGAGATTCCTGATGACGCGTTCCTGGGAAATACATTGAAGCCCAGCCGTTTGTGGTTACTTCCCATCTTTTCCGTGCGTCACTTCCAGTGATTGGGTCTGACCCATGGACCGCATGCTGGCTCAGGCATAGCGAGCGGCGGTGCACAGTATTTGATTCTTCCTATGCCTATTGAAAGTGCCTTTGGCACTGAAACATGTGAGAGCAATTTATATCTTTTACATTTTTTGGACTTCAAATAAACTTACTGCACTACAGAAACCTCTTTCTTTGGGTGTTTGTACAGTTTCACCCTGCTTGCACGAATCTGCTATGTGGGAGACCGAGAAGATATTGGTCATTTTGATATAGTGGAATATGATTTGCCTTTTGACTTTTTATGTCTGGTGAGTTATAACTCTCACTGCACATGGTGAACACACTTGCATTATTGGATCACTCAATCTTTGTTTTTGGGCACATGATATGGGTAGTTATTTTATGGAATTACTATATGGAGCTTTCTTCTTTATGAACACACTCATATTTTTGACACTTTGTTGATGTTGATAAATGTGTACTATGATTATATATGTGAAGTATTTATTGTAACAATCAATATGAGTAGTGCCTTTTCTTAGATCAAATAGAATTGTTTTATGGGAGTTTTCTACCGTCCTCTGGATCAAAATCAAAATTTGCTCCAGTGGGGGGGGGGGGACAAAAAAAACCCCTTCCCAATTCCCTGGATCAACAATCCTTGTGTTATCACCTAAAAATTTTAATATCCAGTCATATTTTGTGCTTCTACTGAGCTGACCAGAACCAGTTCTTCCACAGCTCTTACTGTGAGGAAGCCTTTCCATATTGGGGGGGGGGGGGGGGGGATTAATCTTTTTTCCTCCAGACATAAAATAAACTCCCTTTGTGAGGATCCTAAAATTAATAACTCTACACCAAGATCACGATTTGAACCATTTATGTATTTATACATGGTGATCATAAGTCCCCTTAAATCTCTCTCTAAATTAGTTCTCACCATTTATTTGTAAGATGCTTTGCCTAGACATTGCATGCTATTAGGTCAATGATCTACCAGAAAACCCAGATCCTTATCAATTATTATCTCCTCCTAGGAGGTACGATGCATGCAAGTTTTTAGCCCCCAAGTGCATAACTTTCCATTTAATCACATGTAATCTCTGGTACTTTAACAGATCTATAATAAACTTTGACTATGAGCAAAATATCACAAATCAAATAGTCATAGCTACTTTTGAGCCACAGACCAGACCATACTGTGCTTAGTGATCCCATAAAAGAACAACTCTGTCGTAGTGATTTGCACTGATACCATATACTTTTATGTAATTTTTCCCCTGAATGTGGTACAAAAAGTTAAATGGACTCTGAATAAAAAGGTGAGCAGCAATACTTCCTCTTCCCTGGTATTGGCGAATATGGCCAATATTATAACACAATCACTGCCTGTACTGTGAACTACGTAGAGTAACAATAGAGTTCTGCCTGCCTCTAAAAGTACTGCCAGCTTTACTAAGGTTGTAAGGTTGACTGGAGTTGGAAGGAAACAGGTTAGTTCTTAAGAGGATGCTTACAACTGTCCATATTGGCTCTCATATCTGGAAATGATGTTCCTGCATTTTCCCAACTCTCTGCGTAGTTCAGCCACCTCTGTGCGAAGTGCTGTGTTTTCCTTTTCCAAGAAAGCTGCCCGCACAGTAATCTGGTTCTCTTTGAGCCGCCGTGCATCTCGAGAACGCTTAGCTGCCACGTTGTTCTTTTTTCGTCTGTTCCAGTATTTTTCATCCTACAACAATACACCATCATAACAGATTAAGGCGGCTTTACTGAAATGCATTTTAAAATGATACTGCAGAATAGACTACTTTTAATTTTAAATAACCTCAATAAAATAAAACCCCATGCCCTATATTATCCAAAGAACTACTTTATGTTATAATAGAAAGCATTTCCCATAGCAATCTGTGGCTTAAAACTAGTTGCAGGCAGATCAGCTGAAGGTCTGGAGACAAAAAGAACTTGATGATAGATTTTAAAATGGCACAGGACAGTAAATGGTGACAACAACTGGGAGTGGATTTTGAGAGAAGTTTCAGAATCACAGAAAGAAAAATATGCAAGTTCACAAAATCAGAATTCCCAATTTGCAAACTTGTTCTAGGTCAAAATTAAAAAGGTACTGTAAGAAGGGGGATCCACATAACTTCAAAAAGGACGAAAAAGGATGTTCTTTAGAAGAATGTATCAGTATTTGCTGCCTACATACACCACTCAAAAAATTAAATGGAACACATCAGATCTCAATGGGGAAAAATATCATGCTGGATATCTATACTGATATAGACTGGGTAATGTGTTAGCAACGTAATAATGCCCCATTGTTTGATCAAAATGAAAATTATCAACCTACAGAGGACTGAATTCAAAGACACCCCAAAATCAAAGTGAAAAAATTATGCAGCAGGCTAGTCCATTTTGCTGAAATTTCAATGCAGCAACTCAGAATGGTACTCAATAGTTTGTATGGCCCCTACATACTTGTATGGATGCCTGACAACGTCGGGACATGCTCCTAATGAGATGATTGATGGTGTCCAGGGGTATTTCCTCCCAGATCTGGACCAGAGCATCACTGAACTCCTGGACAGTCAGATGCAACCTGGAAGCGTCGGATGGACTGAAACATAATATCCCAGAGGTGTTCTATTGGATTTAGGTTAGGCAAGTGTGTGGGGGCCATTCAATGTTATGAATTCCTTCATCCTCCAGGAACTGCCTGCATACTCTCACCACATGAGGCCGGGCATTGTTGCACACCAGGAGGGACCCAGGACCCACTGCACCAGCATAAAGTCTGACAATGGGTCCAAGGACTTCATCCCAATACCTAATGGCAGTCAGGGTGTCATTGTCTAGCCTGTAGAGGTCTGTGCATCCCTCCATGGATATGCCTCCCCAGACCATCACTGATCCACCACCAAAACGGTCATGCTGAACAATGGTTCAGGCAGCATAACCTTCTCCACGGCTTCTTCAGACCCTTTCACGTCTGTCACATGTGCTCAGGGTGAACCTGCTCTCATAAGTGAAAAGCATAGGGCACCAGTGGCAGACCGGCCAATTCTAGTGTTCAATGGCAAATGCCAATCGAGATCTATGGTGAGCACAGGGCCCTCAGGCACCCTCATGAAGTCTGTTTCTGATTGTTTGGTCAGAGACATTCACACCAGTGGCCTGCTGGAGGTCATTCTGTAGGGCTCTGGCAGTGCTAACTTGTCCTCCTTGCACAAAGGAGCAGATACCGGTCCTGCTAATGGGTTTAGGATCTTCTACGGCCATGTCCATCTCTCCTAGAGTAACTGCCTTTCTCCTGGAATATCCTCCATGCTCTTGAGACTGTGCTGGGAGACGCAGCAAACCTCTTGGCAATGGCACATATGGATGTGCCATCCTGGAGGAGTTGGACTGCCTGTGCAACCTCTGTAGGGTCATGGCATCGCCTCATGCTACTAGTAGTGACACTGACCCTAGCCAAATGCAAAACTAGTAAAAAAACAATCACAAAAGAGGGAGTAGGGAAAAAATTGTCAGTGACATCCACATGTAAAACCATTCCTGTTTTAAAGGTTGTCTCATTGTTGCCCATTTAGTGCACCTGTTAATCCATTTCAGCTGCCTTGGTGTTAATGAAATTAACAACCCCTCTGCTACTTAACTGACCAGATGAATATCCCAGGAGTTTATTTGACTTTATATACTCTGATTAAAAAGTGTTCCTTTATTTTTTTGAGCAGTGTACTGCTTTCGAGTGTACTGCTTATGTATAAACTACCCTGAGCAAGTGTGACAAAAACAAACAAACCAAAAAATTACAGACTACTGTGGTAGCATGCAAAGAGACGGGAACCATGTGCAGCCAGTAGAAAAGTCAGCTTACTACTAGTAAGACACCCCACTGGTAATTTAATGTCCGGTGTTTAAAGTACAAACAGAACAAAGTGTAACATTTACCTTCATTTCATCCGGTACATATACTTTCTTTGCTTTTTTGATCATGGGCTGAGGTTTCAATTCCTCCTCTGCAAATTTGTGTTTTCTAGGGTCAAATAGCTCTCCTCCTGGCACACTGGACAGCACCAGGTCAGTAGGATCTGGGTTGAAATTTACTTTCACCTCTATTTTCTCTGGGTCAACAGGGCTAGGAGGATCATTTTCTTCTTTCAGAGGAATGTCTGCATTGGAAGCATAATACAAAACACAAAAATAAACAGCCTATTCTCAAGCATAATCCTTTTCAAAACAAACAATATGCTGCAAAAACGATTACTTAATAAAAACACTATTAAAAAAACACACCTCATAATCCCCATCCTGCCCAAAAAAAACACTGTAAATTACACTTTCCTCAGTATGATACCCCACATGACTGAGGAAAGATTAATCTGCACTCCATTACACGTAAGAGAAGTGTCCATAAAGTGCAAGTATTTCATAATGCAGAATAGTCCCAAATTCCAAAAAACCAAGAAGCCACTTAGATGTGCAAAATTCGAATTCCTTATTCTACCTCAAAGAGGCCTGCTGATGTCATCGCATACTGAAAGTGACTGCTGTTCTGCCAGCTTTGGTGATTTTTTCTTTTCAAATCTTTATTAAATTTTAAACACAAATATATCAACAACAGTGCAGGTTCAGAATGTAAAGTAAGCACATCTTTTCCTTAGCACTATAACATACATACATACGTAAAGTTGCGAGAAAAGAAAAACAAAAGTGGCTCATCGTTACCAATATATGCTTAGAATATCAAGGGTAGCAAAAATAGAGGTTATACTTCCAGTCCAAATGATCACACATAAACAAAAAACATACCGTATGTGCATAGCGCTTTGCTGAATCTATTCACATAAGACCCGAGATAGCGGGCCCAACTGAACTCGACTTCGAAAATATATACACATATACACAGAAGAAAAAAAAAAAAAAAAAAAACAGAACCCAGATGGAAGGAAAGGAAAGGGAGCAGAAAAAGAATAAAAAAAGAGCATCCACATGAGCAAGAGGAGACCAAAGCTGTCACATTATCCTTTATGAAAATCTTGCAGTAATTTCTATACAGTAATGTTAAATGGCATAGCTAATGCTTTCCAATGGGACCATTTTGGATCAAACTTCTCCATAGAATAATGACTAAGCGCTAGAGCCCTCTCATACACATAGTATGTCTGTACTCTTTGAATTACTTCTGAAATGAGAGGAGAGTTCGTCGATTTTCCATCTACTAGTAATAGCCAATCTAGCAGCATAAGAATGTGACCTATTATTGTTCTATATTTACTAGGGAAAAGGTTTAGCTTGAGGTTAAGAAGGGCCAAGTATGGAGCTGGAGAGGAAATTGTACCTGACACCCTAGAGATAAGTGCGAAGATGCCCCGCCAGAATAATTGCAAGCAAAGACACTTCCACAAAATGTGAAGTATATTCCCCTCTCCACCACAATTTCTCCAACATAATGGTGATGTGCTAGGGTACATTTTAGATAATTTATATGGAATGAAGTAGCTACGATGCATTATTTTCAGGGAGCAATCCCAGTGATTAGCGCATTTAGAAATACTCAAACTGCTGTTCAAGGCATCCTCCCATAGCTTTGGTGATTTTTAAATGCGCATTGTCTTTTATACATACGTGGATGCATTTTTATGACAGCTAAAAAAAAAGGTACCATGTGATATTTTATACTATGTAGAGCGTTTGTATGCTTGCCTTTACACGAGTCTATGCTGCTGGAGACCGAATATGGCAGTTTCAAGTAGTGGTGCACCAAAATGAAAAATTCGGTTTTGGCACCAGAAAATTCAGGGTGCACTAGGCCAAAAACTGAAATGTCTGCATATGTGGGGGTGGGGAGGCTCAAATTTTAGATTGATTTTTTTTTTTTAATTTATGATTTTATTGCCATCACATAAGGGAACCAATAGTCCCCTATGTGATAGCATATAAAGTGACAGGTCTTCTTTGTAGGGGGCAGGGGTCAGTGTGAGCAAGAAGGGAGCAGGAGAGGAGCATTGTATACAGGCAGGCTACCGGACTTGCCGCCAGCAATTGCATTTAAAAACTTGTCTGTATAGGCTGTTCCCTCACTGTATACACTGCTTATCTCCTTTCCTGTCTAAGCACCCCCCCATCTGCAGTACACACAGCCCCCCCCCCCCCCCCCCAAACACGCCCCTCGGGCTGCAGTTACCGGCACCTGTATCGGCTCACTTTTTTCCTATCGGCATGATGTCAATAGGACTATTTTCGGCTGATATGCTTCGGTCGCCGAAATTTCAGGGCATCCCTAGTTTCAAGGATTGCGTTTGGTGATCGCCCTGTGATATACATGGAGACACGCTGTTGATGCCTGAGTATACCTTCTAAGCTTTCTAGGACTACTCTGGGGGTGGTTGTTATTTGGTAAGTTTGAATCTTGCGACTATTTTTAATGACTGAGGAAGAAAAAAAAAAAAAGAAAAAAAAAAAAGCAGTATTTAATTTTGTACTTCTAAGGGACCTCTTGGCTTTTTGGAATTTTGGACTATTCTGAATCATTTAATACGTGCACTTCATGCACACTTTTTAATTTGTATTCCTGCATTAGGTTATGAATTTATGCACTAGTTTGTCAATTTATGATGGGTTTATGAACTGTTTATTTTTGCACATTTTCTAGTGCAACACCGTATGCTGTTTTTTGGGGGTTTATTGGGATGGAGGTTGGAGGGGACACACATCTTTTTGTATTTCAGCTTTTGCGTTTTGTATTTTTACATTTTTGGGCACATTTGCACGGTTTTTTCCACCCTTGCTTGCAGCTAGAAGCACACAGCTGTGTGCTCTTAGCTGTAAGAACAGTAACTGACAGCGTCCGTTCCTTACTAAGGATCAGATAGCAATCAACATCGTTTTCAACCACATGATCACCAATGTCAGGTAGGGCATGGTCTTGATTTGTAAACAGGTGTAACTGACAGTGACAACAGTGATTTTTTTCTTAAGTGTATGTAAACCTTTAAATAAAAAAAGTTCTTATTTTGCTCCCTTATTGGTCTACTAGACACACTGCCGAGAGTTTTGCTATATCTGTTTCAAAAGAGAAAAAAAAATAGCTTTGGATCCAGGAAGAAATTCAGTACTTTTTTTTGTACTGTGCACGGTGTCTAACCAGCTGTCCCAGTTTTTTCAATGGGCTACTAAACACATAAAAAAATTACAATTCGGAATGCGCTAAAATTATATCACAAAATGAATTAATTTGTGTAAAAAAGTCCAAACATCTTAAATACAAAAAAATCTCCAGTGAGGCAATCCATAAATAAGTGTAAAAAAATGTGTAGAAACAAATGTCCAACACCCTAAACGAAATTTCTTCTTAAACATATAAATACACCGTGCTTAATCCACCACCAAATGAATGGAATAAACTCACCAGAGCTCAATGCTGATCAAATTATAAATCAGCACAAGCGTGTTTGCTCTGGGAGCGATGAGAGAAGACAGATCATGAAGCAACACTCTGTAGCATGGACACATCCAGATACCAGGAGCAATACTCTGCAGTGACTCTGAAGTATGGCCAGGACTCCTTATATAGCGATCATCCTCCAAATATATAGTAATACCACTCAAAAATAAAGGAAAGGCATGATGGTGCAGTAAGTAAAAACCATTTAGCTTTATTGCAATCTCATCTTACTCACAAGGTTAAGTGTCCACCTGACACTGGTATAACAAGCGATCAGATACAAGGAATGGACGAGCCCCGTTCACCGCGGACACCTCGCCGACAGCTCCAGGGAACGTCCTGACGTCATCCAATAAGCTCCGCCCTACGCATTTCGTCACTCTGACGTCCTCACGGAGCGGCATGGATCAAGACGTCAATACAACCCATATATACCGCTCGCACTCTGCATAATAGTGCTTCTCAACCAATAGCGGCAATGATACAATGACACACCGCTTGCTGCCTCATAGACATCACACCGCACGGCCCATGTGGACGGCTGGTGGCCATCTTTATTCCACTGTCACTTTGATTTTAATGTGAGTTATATTGCATCTACTTCTGTTACCCCTTTATTTAATAAAAGTTACTACACTATGGAAATTCTTTTTGCTCTGGCTCATTTGTCATGAGCCTCCCCTATAAGGATATCCATGGGTACTTTGCTCTAACTACAAGTGTGCCTCCCTGGTGGCTGATTAAGTGTAATCCTGGTGCCTGGAAGCCCTGATGGTGTGCTACTTCTACTGATGCCCACCAGATGACCCGGTGTTCCAGTAACCTGATGCAGATGAGCAGGAGTTGGTCCTAATTTACTCAAATGCGCATTTATTTGCGCTCTCTGGTGAGTGCAATCTACAGCCATATATTCTAATACCACTATCACGGATTTCCACTGAGTATACCTTAACTGAATATTTGCTTCACTCTTTGCCCCTTGAAACGCCAACTTGGGACGTTTACCACAACTTTATTTTGCCAAACGCCTCAGTGCGTTCATTTATTATATGATTTGATTACTGTCATAGAATATGAGATAATCACAGACGGCCATTTACATTTTATCAATAACATAGTTTGGCTCAGTCACTTATGATTTATATGTTCTAGGTTTTCATCACATTTTTAGCGCTGCATGTTTTTATTTTATATGTTGTTTTGGAAGGTTTTAGAGGTTTTTACCTTTCATGCTAGCAGCTCCTTGTCAGATTATATTCAGCGCTAGTTTTTTTACTTACTGTTTTGAGTTTGTCATCATTGGAGTCTTCACTGATTCAAAGACCATACTGCTGGCATCAGGCACCTCTGGAAGTGCACTATAGGCAGCTATGAAGCCATTAGTGAACTGGGAGTTGGGGGAAGCCATGAGACTGATTTCCCATGTGTCTAGGATTTGACAATATAATGTGAAGACAACATAACTCAGATTGCTAGGCCTAAAGTACTCACATATCTGGCTGCTGGTAGCAGGAGAGGGTCTGGCAGTAGAAGGTTTCACTGTAGGCAAGCAGCAGTTTCACATCTCACTTGCAATCACACATGCCACTCCACCTACCAAATGAGATAAACTCTCAATCCCTCAGCTTTAACTTCTATCACAGTGGCACCAGGAATTTTTAAAACAGCAGGGTGTGCATCTGGACGCACACAGCTCGGCTCTGGTCTCAGGCAAGAATGAGCACACATGCGTGTCCCCTT